AAATGTCTATCTTTACAGTATCATCAGCTTGTTAACACTCAATTCTGTATTGTCTACATTGATAGCAATGAGTTTGGATGTAAGAAAATAAACACCTGTTATATGAGATATTTTTTCAAGTTTTGAGAAAAGTCCTATGAAGAAATTATACTTTAAATCTTTACTTGATCACTGCTTTGATCCCAGAGTTTTTAGTAATATGTGATAGAGTTTGTCTCCCATTTCTCTTGATACTGTTATTATATAGGGCTTGTAGTTATTATCGATGAGACTATAATTTATGAACGACCTTTGAGAGACGCTGAAGTGACCGTGAGAATGACACCTACTGATTAGGACCAAATGAGGGTTATAAAGCAGTTAGAATTATGATTTACAGTTGATGGTTAGTTCATCACGAACCGGCATCAGTGATAATGTCAAAACTCTATTTAGTCAGATGTATGAATGAATTTCGCGCCAAAATTTGGGACTCGTTATCTTATATCTGATTGGTTCGTCCATAAATTATAATCTCGCCTTATTATCATCTATACCCTGTGATTAGACACACCTCAACTCTTCTACCTAGCAATACACAAACAGATAGAAGGAATGTAGCTTGATACATGTGACTGAGAAGATAGACATAGGAGTAGACGATTGATTTCGTCATCAAAACTCTAGGTTTCAAAATGTGGTCTAAATATATCAAGTTATATATAGATTTATGTTGGAGTAGTTAATAGCTAGAATTACAAAACAACAAGGTTATAATAAAAATGTCATAATTTTATCTTATAACGTATTCATCACATGACCTCTCGATTACATATTCGATTTCTTCTGCGGTGAAAGATCTTGACATGAGATTAATCCGTAGTCTGAGGCAAGTCAACAAATATAGATTTCTTCGTTAGACCCATCCATAAGTTTTGATATGATATTTTGGGTCTCAATGAGAATCAATACTTGAGAATGCTAGTTTTATAGAATCAAATAAGTGCAGACTAAAAGCTGAAATCAGTGATTTTAAAAATATTCTTTTCTTGACTAATTTTAGTGAAATTTATGGGAAATGGTATATTTTAATCAGAGAGAGGTTTTGTGGATATTATAGTAATTTAATAGTTTAATTCATGAGTCAACTGAAGCTAGATCACCATGGAAAACCTAGAAGCACTGGACGGCTATACTAGAACGAAACGGTTGTCCAGTGCTTCCAGGTTTTCCATAGTGATCTAGCTTCAGTTAACTCATGAGTTTAACCGTAGATCATCAGCATAGATGATCTATGTCGAATGATTGGAGGCCAACTCGAGTTAGTCGGGAATAGTGTGACGAACCAGCTAACGTCGAAGTCACACCTTGTGGTCAGCAACTTACGTGGATTACCCCATTGACATATCAAGGTAATATAAATGCTTTGAAGACTGTACAACACAAAGGACGTTATTACAGATATATATCAGTTAAAGTAGATGCAAGCGAAGGTAAGACCACTGCCGCATGGGGCAGCCCATGGCATACGATTAACTGATGCGCATTGGTCATCCTTGACCTCGACAGGGATCAATAATCGGTTCGATATTCAGTGATCCGACTTCTGGATGATTTGGTCAGGACTTAATGACATTTCGCTGGCCTTACACAACTATTAAATGGTACATTTCCTAGAAAAAAAACTCAAATTGAACAGTTTTCTACATGATATCAACACTGTTTTTAAGCTAATTACAAGTAAATTATGTAATATATAATACTAGAAATCAATATTACATAATAAGTTGATAGATGAAGATTATTTAATCAAATCATTAGGTTAGTACAGGAAATAATTAAAATTTGAAGTGAAGTAATAAATGCAAATAAACAGTATAGGGTATATAGAAGCCATTAAAAAGGGAAAGGCTACATTGTTCTGGTGTAGAATTTGTCATATGAACGTATGGATATACATTTCACATAGAAAATAAATCGACGAAATCTTAAAAATAGATATAAAATAGCAAGAGTTAGTAATCACCACCTAAAGATTGATCAAATAAAGTCAATATAAGAAGATCCATAATGAGAGGATCTTATTAACCTTATTAATTAAAAAAACAAGGTACAATAAATCAGATAATGAGAACACGCTATTTTTATATGAATTAATTGAAAGAGTTTGAGAAGAATGTAATTCATTCACTTACATAGTACACATTTAATACACCATACTGAAAACCTTGATTTTTTATGTGACTAATAGTAGTAACCGATAAGTGTAAACTTAAAGTAAGTGGAATGTGTACGAGAAAATAGTTGACTATTAAGCTTAATAAGAAAATAAACTTGATATTTATAATAATATATATATGTTAGCTACAGTTACCAAATAAGTAGTAATGTATGTTTAGTAGTCTATTTAAGAAACAATAAATTTATCAGTTCTTCGTTACTATAGTGTTTGTAACTAAACTAATGACTATTACATACATAAAACATAATCGTGAGGTTGAAATAACACTGTTTCAAAGTTTATTAAAAACTGAACACTTTGCAACGACTGTTATTAGAATGACAAGTTTGTCTAGATTGCTCAGTTCAAAGATAGTACATATTACTCAATGGGATCGACCACAAAACTAATGAAAACTACGGAATACTGAAAATCTGTTTCATTCTTGTGTGAGATTCTTCAGTATTGCGAACTTATAACCTGATTAATACTTAAATGCAAGATTTTAAAATTTTGTAGTGATCAGATCAGTTTTAACATGTTCAAATGACAACAACAACAATTGACAGATGAAGTAAAACTGAACTAATTGTCCCACTAAACTTTAATAGCCTAAATCTTGGTACTAAAGTTAGTATTCGTTAAAGAAATGTGATTTTTGACTAGATTTTTTAATCGACTCAATGTTGGATTATATATATATATATATATATATATATATATATATATATATATATATATATATATATATATATATATATATATATATATATATATATATATATATATATATATATATATATATATATATCGCACGTGAACGTTCAAACTCTAGACCACTGTTACGGCATCCAACAGTGCTAATGTCTAACTTCAACTAATCCACGATTTTGAGCGACCATATTCTATTTTCTTCAGTGGGTAACTGCCTCACACTGCTTTTCTAGGACGAAATGGCCATCCAATATTTGCAGGTTTTCAGTGGTGGTCTAGCATTGATCGGTTCATGATTTCATTAAAATGCAACAATCTCCACAACAACAAAGTAAAATTAATTTCAACTAACTTGGAAAATATCGATTTTACTAAGTAAGCTTATAGAAATTAGTACTCTGAGAGAAAATGTGCAAGCAAGCTGATTTTATGAGAATTACAGTTATAACAGCGACCAATCACTTCAAGTATGTATAGTTTCCAGAACAGAATTCGAACATGGGGTATAATGATTTTGTGCCTAATTTTCTACTCGATTGATGCAAATATCTGGTTCAATAATTTTTATCGTTTTATTATGAATGGATATTAATTCTTAAAATACTAAATATATAGAATTTATCTTTCGAACATTCTGTCGGGTTTGTTTCTTAATTGAATTATACCAAGTTAAAGAATCTTATACATTAGCAGCCGGATAATTTATTAATTAGCACCCCTCTCTTAAGTGGACCTTCATCTCAGTTCCTATGGAAACTAACAATCATTTCTGTCACTGTTGGTACTTCAGGTTCTATGTATTTCTGGTTAATATTTTGTATGACAACTTGGAGCCCCCAAATACCCTGGTACAGCTGAGAGTGGGGAGAGTCAGCTCTCCTCTCTCAAAATGCTCTCACACGGCCACGTGCACACAACCACTACCACGGAAGTCCTACTCACTGCGTTCTCCCGGCAGGGTGTTGTTCACGAAATCGAGAGGAGGAAAAGTGAATGTCCGGCGCTTTAACCGGGTTGGTGGACCCAGAGAGTTCACCTAGGGAGTTGGAAAACCCTGATTCCAAACTAATGGGCCACAGTGTCCTGAAGGAACAAATCGCGTATAAAACTATTTTTGGTCACCGAATACCATGGGACTGCATCACCTGATATTGCTCCACTGCCTTATGGATCAGACCTTTAGTTCAAAGGCTCCAGATGTGGTTCCCTTAATTAACCACCTGCTTTGGCTTGAGCACCTGGAAAGTACCCCAGCCCTCACAGAAACCAAATGTTTTTGTGGCGCATATCTATTTGGTGCCTCTTCGTACCAATGTTAATGAGTTTAAATAAATATAAATAAATGAAATAACAACTTGGAACCCTCTCAACGGTCATTCTTTAGAACGTACACTTTGACTGACAACAAAATTCTGTCAGTAAGAGCTATTACTACTATGGGGGTTTACGGAGATTATTAGATTTCATAATTTATACTTTAGTCACTAATAAGTGTCTAGTTTTGGGAGGTAATTTCAATAGTTCAAATGCGAAGCTGTGACCAGTGGAATTTATCCATGTCAAATGTGAAATAGTTACATACTAACGGGATCAGAAAACAGTTAAGCAACATTACGGATCTGTACCACTTAGAAAATGAAATCATTGGGTACCCGCTTATTTGGTTTGAGAGCCCTGAATTTCGTGAGTTCAACCTCCCGTGTCTAATCATAGATAAGCACTTCTAAGGAGGACCAAACTAGAGTGAAACATTTATTCAGTAATACATTGTTTTAAATAAGGTTATCCAGCGATGTAAACTATAAATTTTATTGTGTTCGACAATCGGATCACAAAGTATCCTCTGAAATCATTATTAGATGTCGCTATCCCTCTCTCTCTCTCTCTCCCCATATATATATATTCATAAGAGGAAATGATTGGGGGATTATTTTATTAATAAAAGTCATGAAAATTGATTGATTATATAATATGTGTCTTAATGTGTTTGTTGACTGTTTATATGTCCGTATTCATTCTTTGAGAAAATGCAAATGTCCACAAAATAATAAAATGGTCGTTTTAACTTTTAATTTTTAAACTAATCATGGTAAATAAACTTAATAAAAACGCTATACAAGCTCATAATGAGTAAGTTATATAAAATCTTTTTTTTGTTGTTTAAAATGTTGCGGTGACTACCCTTTTTTTGTTGTTGTTTTATTTAAAATAAGTTAAATGGATTGGGGAAGAATAGATCCATCTCTCATATTGATCCCCCTTACAAAATATTGATTTAATTATTTGTTGTCGGAAACGAGAACAAATTTATTTGACAAACTCAATGTAATTAGGATATATGAAGTAATTCATTAATGTAGTTAATTTCACCTTAATGAAAAAAACAACAAAAAGAAATTCCCAATATTCAATCTTTTAGAAAAAAAGTGATAAATTTTCAATATTCACAAATGATATCTATTGTTCATTGTGAGGGATTTATGGAAATTGTAGTATTTTTACAGTTGTAATTATGAGTTGATCTAAACTAGACTACGATTTGAGTACCTGGAAGTATTGGACGACTGTTTCATCCCAGTATGGAACTCCTCAGTAGTGCTTTGTTGATGATCATGTACTTAATAGTAACTAGCTTTAAGATGTAACGCTTGGTGTTTTAGTGAGAAGCCATGATCAGCGGAGTCCAATCTGTGTCGAGTATGAGATACTAATCCACCTCAAGCAATAGATGGAAGGTTGCGTAAGATCATGGATTGATTGAAATTGAACAGTAACACTGTTGGATGCCAGCTCAGTGGTTTAGAGATTGAAGGTCCTGGGTTTGAGTCCCGTGCGTGGATTCATGGATCTACATTGCTGAGAAATTCCATACTAGGACGAAATGGCTGTCTAGTGCTTCTAAGTTTTCAATGTTGATCTAGATTAAATTGACTCTTGATTTTAACTATTGTACACTTAATTCTAAATTATTTAATTGTTTTGCTGAACGTATCCAAACATTGAATATTGTAGGATTGTATTGTTCGATCACATTGATGTAATTTCAAATTCCTATCAAGTATTTTATTACTTTGTACATAGATTAAGACGAACTTTTTTCGGTACAAATCAATTACTATTTATTATATAACGTTTATTCAATGGAGTAACTTGACAGTTAGACTGACTACATGAAATAGCTACAAAACGTTTATTCTTAAAGATTATAAAACAAAATTATTTTGTGATGAATCAATTCAAGATAATTCTTCTTTAATTTTGTTATATCCTGGCAACAATTATGAACGGTAACTTTAGAGAACTATTTATGAAAAAATATTATACGTATATATATTCAGTAGCTAGATTATATTTACCAATACTCCTCTTATTACAAGCTTTACTTTGACCTATAAACTATTATTATACGGTTTACCATTCTTGAGTTATGCCCAGTTTATTAATTATAACCTCCCATATTCACAGCCGCTAAGTCTTTTGCATATGTTATTTTCTATTTTATGGTGCGATGTGGTTTGTTTGGTTTGTATATAAACCCAGTATGTTTGAAATACATGATTCATATCGTAGGGACTGAGATTGGTGTTCTGGACTTAACCGCCAGGGCTAAGAGGAAAAAGGACAGATAAGGACTCTACACTGCTCGTTCAGGTTTATGCGTTATTGGTCCAGTTGATAAGCCACTGTTATCTAATTGGCAGTTTCATTTCGTTATATACTAATAGGACACAAGGTCACAAGTTATAACAAATCTGTATAGGTTTTATTTTATGAAATAAATACTTTTGTAAATGTCATTAATGATTTTATACCATATGAAATATATTTATCTTTGCTGACTGTCGTTTTTAAGCGGTATACTTTGGTATTTTTTAATCTCTAAGGTAGTGTAACTATGATATGAATAATTTTTCTAAAAAATCCAAAATATATGGGGTATCGATTATTTCCCAATAGATTTCTTTTGCTTATTATGTTCCTTTTTCAATATAACTTCAGTCACAGTGAAAAAGGTTTTGACAATTATTGATAAGGTTTTCGTTTAAACAAAAGTAATTGAGTCTAGTATAATTACTTACTTATTTACTTATGCTTGTTACTCCTTATGGAGGAGCGTAGACTGCCCACTAGCGGTCATCATCTAACTCTGTCCTGGGTAATGCTTTCAAGATGTCTCCAGTTGCTATTCATCTTTTTGATATCTATTTCCGATTCCAGACGCAATATGTTCCTTGGTATTCCGCTTTATCTCTTCCCTACAGGATTCCAATTTAACGCTTCCTTCATGAAGCCGTTTGATGATTTTCACAATGTCTGTTTTATCCATATGATTCAGAATAACAGTTAAGGACTGACGTCAGGTCTTGGTTTCGGTTGCCTCAAGCTTCTTTCCAAACTACTAATGTAATATCGTGGTGGACGTCAGTTAGGCATATATAACATATATTTGAACCTCTACAGTTATTGAAGGTTTACAACCTTGTCAACTGATTTACTATCTTTGTGAAATGTCCTATGCTTAACCTCGACATTTATGATTTGGTCTTTCCATGGACCACGGACAATGCTTCGAGGACGCCTATGACCAGAAACCTTGAACCTAGTATGATTTCTTAATTGTTGGTTGGATTTCTGAGAAATATTCTCATTTTTTCATTAATTTTCAATGATCCACTTATTTAGAGTTGTTAAAAAACATTAAATCCTAAATGTCCATTAAAGATTGGGGTACAATTGTAATAAGTGTTACATAGTTGACATTATGACTATATAGTTAACGAACTTGACGTTCAATTACCGAAGTGGGTTTCGGAAAACTATCTTTCAGACTAATAGAGAAGTCCTATGCTGAGAACAGGATCTAAATAGTAACCACTTACTGCAGTGTATTTATTAAGAAATTACTATCTTAACGTTGACATTATTTTAATTTGTAATATTTTGAATTGTCCAGTTGCTGATATTTTGACTGAAATTTGATCAGTGTCCGTTGGAACACGTAAATCCTATGAGGATTGCCTTGATATAGTCATTATGGCACAGGTTTACACGTAGAATAGATGGAACGTGGTTAGCAGTGGAATCCATATATTCTTATTCAAGTAGAAACTTCATAAAAACCGATTTTTATTTAAAAGAATGTTAAATGATAAATTAAACAAAATGTTACAAATGTATTATCTAGTAAATTAGGAAGTATATTCAAAAGATCTGGTTATGATCTAAATGATAGCATGAAGATTGATATTTTAGGAACTCGTATCAGCATTTTCTATGACAAAGAAGAATAAATAATTACGTTCGTTACGAATTTAATTAAAAACTGGACAAGTTTCCATTTTGTTACTCGTCAGCTGGATGTATCCGCATTGTTCCGGATTTCAAACCCAGTGACAAACACTTTAAACTCCAACGTGTTATCCATTTAACAACTGAGTCCAGATAGCAATTGGCTTGGGTAAAAATGAACTGTATAAAAATCTATATCTTTAGTATAAATAAAAAAATATAAGGATTTATTCTACACTATTATTTTTATCAGTATGGAAGTTGTGGCCATTGTTCATGATTTCAATAACATTCAACAATCTTCACAATCCCTATATTAATAATTATCATGTGCTCACTGATAACTAGTTTTGAGAAGAAATTTCCAGACTACTAGTAAGAAGCAGGGACCAATAGACTTCAACCATTTCCGGTGTGAGGAACGTACCCACTAAAGACAATGGAAAATATTCAGGCATGACAATGGATCGATTAACATTAAACGTATACACCATATAGTGTTAAATCAGTGTTTACAAGAAAGATCGAAAGTCCTAGGTTCGATTCCTGGTTTAGAGGCCATGGATGTACACTACTGATGAGTCTCATACTAGAACAATGGTACCTAATATTTTTAATTAAGTGACACCACATTCACAAAACTCTATGATATAACATTAAAACTATAAAATTAGCTAAACCTTGTAACTACTTGTCCATAAACATATGACCTATATACTTTTAATAATAGTAAATTCGATTCAATATTATTTTATTCACTATTTATTTTAACAATAATATTCACAATCAACATTGTTTGTGACATAGAATATTATCGATCCGAAAAATATTAACCGTTTCAGATCAACCATTTGACAATACATAGTTTTATATAAGAAAAACAAACAAACAAACATTGTACGTTCAACAATGAATTTCAGTCATGATGTAATCGTAGTTGTAATTTATGTGCTTAATCCAATCGTTCGTTATTTAAGGTGTCTTTTAGAATTCTAGGTGCGCTGTTTATGTAGTTATTATATATAAACTTTTAAAATAATTGTATTTATTAATTCATTTTTGTATTGATTGTTTGAATTTTCCCACTGACTTTTAAGATTACAATTGATCAGTCTCTTATTGGCATATGTACATTTTGTATGGATTGCTTCGATATTACCTTAAGTCACAAATATTATAAGCAAAGATAGATGGTGATTAGTAGTAAAATCCAGGATGTGTGTTTCGTCATAACGCAATGAAGTTTGAAGAGAATGGTACTGGGTTCCAGTCCTGAAGTAAACATCAATTCTGCGATACACGTACATCCAACTGACATGTCTCAAATAGGATAAACCGCGTGTCCTGGATTACTCTACTAGCCAATCTCTACCTTTGCATATAGTTGTATTCATTATTTTACTGAAAGTATACCAAAAACAGATAGGAGTTTCAAAGCTAATTGGCTATAGAAACAATTAAGACTGATAGGTCCTGAGTTCAAATCTCGCAGAGGGCGGGATCGTGGATGCGCACTGTTGAGGAGTCCCATACTAGGGCGAAACAGCCGTCCAGTGCTTCCAGGTTTTCCATGGTGCTCTAGCTTCAATCGACTCATGACTTCAACTATTGAAATTATCGTTAATAATTCTTTTCTTGATAGCGAGTTAGTCTAATTAAAATAGATGAACCTGTAACCTATAACCTAAGATCTATTGGTAATGGTTTGATTCCTTCAATCGATTTCCTAACTATTTATAAATATTTCAGCAGTACTTAAATATAAGATTATTACTGATAGGGTAAGTTAGAACCTAACTATTTCAATTGTGATTTACTTACAATATTGATTTATTTTTACA